CCACTCTCAGCAGCTGGTCTCTGGCCAGCAGGAGGCACCACCACATCACCATCATTAGTTTCTGACATCTCTTTCTGGACTGCCTCAAGCTGGGCCTTGAAGCCTCCCATGGCTTCACACACCGCCTTCTGCAAAAGTTCGTCAATTGTGGCTGATCTCTCCTCAACGATGGCTTTGTCTTGAGGAACTTGCCGAATAAGAACTGCAGCTTGGCCCTTCTTCGATCGCCTGGCCAACGTCGATGACTGGCGTGTGTGTGTGTGTGTGTGTGTGTGTGTGTCTCTGTCTTCTCCTTCTATTGGTAGGACGAGTCGGGTTGCTGCAACTTCTTCCTCCTGAGCTTGAACGAGTTCGGCCGTTGCTGCCTGCAGCGCGTCTTGTGCCTCCGTGTGCTCCATCTCTGTACGTACCCAGCGAGCCCGTGCCTTCTCCAGAGCCTTGGCCGCTCTGCCCACACGAGTGCTCGCTTTCTGCAACTGTTCAGCTGGGCGCACCACTTGCAGCTCAGGTTGGCGGGGTTCCAACGCCTGCAGCAGCTCCTGTTCTTTCTTGCTGGTGTTCGGGTCCTTGATGTCCCCCACGACCGCTCGCAGAGCCGCCTGGAGATAGGAGCCCTTGTCTTACTGGGCTGCGTTGTCATTCGTGATCTTCTGCTGCCCGCGCCATCCGCCTCCCCTCGCCTGGTATGCGCCCAGCCTCGCTCCGCAGAGGCATGTGTAGTCCACCTTTTCGAGCCTGTCATGATACACGAAGCGCGGGCACTCCGTGTAATGGACCTTGAGGCAGTATGGTCGACGGTTGGGCTGTGCCGTGTCTGACTCTGGCGGTTGCCCTCTCCATCTCCGTACCCCCTGTCACGGTGGACCCACGGCTGATACACAAACTTCTTAGTGTGCCACGGAGCATTGCTGTCAAAACTCATCGATGCACGATGTAGGTTCGCAAAAGCAGTGGGGGATAAAACCCCAGTACTGGGGCCGCGTGCGCCTCTGAGGCGCCCCCAAGGCCACAACTCTCGTCCGCTGCTGACGCTCGGGCCACGCTACGGACTTGAGTCAAACTGGCTACGGACCCAGAATCCAGACCGCGAGGGTACGGGTACGGATATTTTCGCCGCTCGTGGCCGACAGCAGTTCCTGTTCATCTTGAACAGGATTCACTGTCGGTGGCGCCGCGGAAGCTGTCCATGTGAGACAGAAGGTCGCCTGCCCAACAGCGGCCAGTGTCGGTTTTCGGGCAATTTTTGTTGTTGGGCATCGCACTATGTTTTCCGTATGTATTTTCGGACGTCCAAAGGCTCAAGTCCACTGTTCGATTATTTCCATATCCACCGCCGCAGTGAATTCTACGCGGTCGAGGGGGGGGCTCAAGCATTGCTCAAGGCCGTCCCCTCGCAGGGGGGGGGCTCCGGCCAGATTTCTTGGATCGGCGCCGGACCCCCTTGGCGTCCCCCTCGGCCCCGCCCCTGGCGCGCTCCAAGCGCCAGGGAGGGGGGGTTCAGCGCCGATCCGTGAATCCGCGGATCTCAACAGTTTTTGTTCATTCGGTTTTTTTGTTGTCCTCTAACGCTAGCCAGGCAGGAGGCGCTCATGCTTGATGGTGTGCCTCAGGCAGACCAGAAAGTGCACAGATGATTATTCTCGTCGATCCGTCCAGTATCTTGCGATTGCTCCTCTCCAGATCATCTGCAGTGCATCCCATACTCGTCGAGGGGGGGGAGGCGAGTCCAACCGTGCGGCTACTCGCGCGCAGGATGCCAGCGGATGGGCGCGTGAAAGAGCCCCCCCCTGCCTCTCGTCGCGAAAACATCAGGACTGATGGCTTTCTTTTTTGTTGTTGCAATTTTGCTGCCTCTGGGGGCTCTCGCCTGGCCCCCGTCAAAAAATGATTCAGGATGAACAACCGGTCCCGCCCCTCAGATCTGACGTTGCAGAAAATTGCAACATCGCCGAAAAAAGTACCACCGGAGTCTCGTACCACATCTTTCTGCGTCATTTTTCGAGCCGGATCGATTTGTGAGGGTCCAGGGGCCCGAAACTGGGCGAAAACTCCCGTTGTGAACAAATAGCATCGCCAGGACTTCAGGAGGTGAATTGGTTCAGACCTCTGGAGGTCCTTTCTGTGAACGAAGAGACGGCGTCGGATCTCAGGGAGGCGCCCCCCATTCCGGGCGGAGTGCCGCGGCAGTGCCCCGCGTGAGCCCCCGCGTGAGGTCGACGCGCCGTTGTGCGTGAGGCCAGTGCTTCCCTTCCCGCGCACTCGACGACATGATTTTTTGATGCGCAGCCCCAGAGCGACGAGTTAACAATACACCCTGGCCCATACCCACAGGGGGGTCGGAGGGCGGAGGTCTCGGTATGGGTATGGGCGCGGGTTGTCGGACCCTGGGGGAGGCTCCCGTTCGACAACACGCACCCATAGCCCCCTTCCTCCGTTCCCCTTATGGGTATGATTGTGTGCTGTTCGTTCGTCAAGAGGTCCCCACCTCTTTCCCTGGGTTCCTTCCGAGGTGTATTTCTGTTGATAGTCGCCAAGGCCGAGACCGCGGCGAACCCCCCGGACTGACAAAAGTCAGATCGTCGGATATCTGGGCTCCTCCTTCGTCGCCCAGGTAAGCGATAGGGGAGAACACGGGGTCGACTGCACGGACCTTCGCGCGTAAGCTTCCCGCGAAAGGTCGCGCGTGCAGTGGTGCCACGCTGGCGGCCTGCGTGAGCGCCCTGGCATAAGGTCGCTACACGCGTTCTCGCGTGAGACCCTTCTTCTTCTTCCTCCTCCTCCTCCTCCTCCCGCTCCTCCTCCTCCTCCTCCTCCTCCTCCTCCTCCTCAGCCTCCTTTTCCTCCTCCTCCTCCTCCTCAACCTCCTCCTCCTCTCTGCTCCTCCTCCCCCTCCTCTCCGTACAGTGTGCCACGCCGGCGGCTTGCGTGAGCCCAGGCGTGAGGTCGCTGTGCGTTCTCGCGTGAGGCCCTTTGCCTTCTCGCCGCCCAGGCAGGGCCCATGCCGATCCGACGGATTCGAGTCGATGCCGATTCTGGCCTTATGATGATCCAACCTACTTTCACGTGTCGGGCCCTGGCAGGCGATACTCGTTCGATACTGTTTCGATACTTCACTTCTGGGTGCTCGAGATTATTGCGAAGGCCTTACGGCTGGTGCCACCGACCTTGAAGACGACGAATATGAAAATGAGCGGGGGGGGTAGGAGGCGGAGGAGGAGGAGGAGTTGGGGGGGAAGAGGAAGGGTAGAGGAGGCGGATGAGGGAGGTGGAGGGAGGGGAAGGATGATGATGATGATGATGATGAGGAGGAGGAGGAGGAGGAGGAGGAAGCAGGAGGAGGGGGAGCAGGGGGGGAGCAGGGGAGGGGAGGAGGAGGAGGAGGAGGAGGAGGAGGAGGAGGAGGAGGAGGAGGCGGAGGAGGAGGGGGCGTTGCGGCATTATGGGGTCTTTGCGGCGTTGCGGCATGGTTCTGGGGGCGCTCGAGGGGGAAACGTATCTGGGCGGCGTCCTTTGGCCGTCTGGGGGCCCCCTTTGGCCGTCCTTAGGCGTTCTCGGGCTATCTTGTGGGGCTTGGACCGTCTAGGGGCGCTCTTGCGGATCCGTCGTGGCGGCCCCCCTTCCTCCAGCGCATCTACAGAGGGCCCCTCCGTAAAAGCCGCAAACGGGGGATGCGAATTTGACCCCCCCCGCCCTCCCCGGGACCCCTCTCCCTCCGCCGGGGAAATGACAAAGTGCAGGGGCTTCCCTTTGACGTGACTGCGACTTGGGTCGATTTCCCTCAATCCCCGGACTCCTCCCCCCGACGACGGGAGAGTGCCCTCTCACCCCCGACGGGGAAGGATAAACAGAGAAGGCGACCCGTCGACGGAACCAGACGGACCCCACACGCGCCGACAGGGTCGGCGGTTTTCTATGATGTGGTCCTGAAGTACGATGGGAGCACCACTACTCTGGCCGGCCCGATCCGACTCGCTTGTGAGATTCCGACGGTCCGATTCGGCCCGATGCTTGACTCCGTGCCGATGCAGCCCGATCTGGTGCAAATTCCGGTTCGATCCGATTGGCCGATTCGGTGCCCTCGCGGCGGGCGGTGAACATGGATTTGGATTGCATTTGCAGGGTCTGGCGATGACCCAGATTTCCAGGCCCGCCCCGCCCTCCCAGGCCCGCTCACTCCCCCACCCGGATACGTGACCTGGCGTTGTCGGCTGTGCAGGTCTGACGGGGGTGCGTAGTATGCTGGTGCGCGCGGGCGTGCGTGGGGCTGCCAAGCGAGGAGGTGTGACAATCGGCCAGCAACTCCCCACCACCAGATTATCCAGGGTACAGTCGAAATCGATGACAATGATGAGCAATCGTCCCCAGGGTAACCTTGCATCCTTGCCTGCTCGGTCCATCCTCAACCGCTTTCGATGGCCAGACCCGCACGAAAAGCTTCGACATGGGCGTCCAACGGGCTTGCATCCTTATCGCGCACTCGTACTGTCAATCCTGACTGCGTCGCCGAAGATGACAAACGATCTCATTCCTGCCCGACCCCCCTGCGGGCTTGGCTGGCTTCGTGGCCACTGCGGTCCGCGGGCCCGAGGGCTTGGCTCCAGGGGCCGGGGGCACGTTGCGTGGCTCGGCGGCGGGCTGACGGGGTGGCGGGTCGACTGGGCAGGTCCGGTGGTGCGTCCTCCCTCCCCAGGGCTCGTTTCCATTCCTCCGATTCGATTCGATTTCGATGGATTCCAATTTCGATTCGATTCGACATCAGTTTCCGATTTGGGACCCGACTTATCCATAGAGGCCCACTAGCCTGCCGAGTTCTGCCGATTCGACTTCTCCCGACTCGGCTGCCGATTTCCGCCGATCCGATGGGTTCCGATCGCCGCTTCGACTTGTCGATTCGGTTCTGGGCTCTTCTGCCCCCCCGCTGAGAGAGGAACCCGAAGGGGGTGGCGCGCGTGGTTGGCCCCCCTTCCCCGGGCGCGTCCTCCGCTGGCGATCCTGCCCAGGTGGCGGAGGGGGACTGGACGACCTTCCCCGCGCTGTGGGCTTCGCTGCTGAAGCCGCTCTTAGCGTTGGTCCTCTCGCTCAGCATACATCGGCGCATGGCTGAGTCGCCGCTCGGGCTGAACGGCGTCGAGAGCGCGGAAATCCCGCCGCCGGCCGTCGGGGGGGGGTAACGGTTGGAGCCGGCCGGGGGGGGTCTGCCCCTTCTGCCTTCCCCGGTGGACGCGCCGCCGAGGGTCGCGCCCCGGAGTCATCAGAGCTCGGAGCTGGAGCGAGGAGCTGACCTGGGGGAGGGGTCGGGCCCTTCGTGGGGTCGCGGAGGGAGGAAATCATGCCGGAGTGTGTCTTGGACCGTGCCTGGCCAGGGCTAACCCTTGGGCCCTGGGTGGTGTACACCTGGAGCCAGCTGGGGGTCCGAGGTGGCCCAGCACTGGCTCCGATTAGCAGGGAGGGAGGGCGAGGTTCGAGGTAATCATGGGGATCGAGCAGGCTTTTTGGCTGTTCCGATCTCTGGGGGCCGCTTTCGGGCCGCCGGACCGTCAGAAACGGACCCAGGGCGAAAAACTAACCACATGGACCCCCGGAAGGGTCAGGGGACCGGTTTTGAAAGCATTTGCCCTTGACCCTCCGTCTTGACTAATTTTCTCGGGGCCCATCCAGCTCAGACCCCCTTGCCGCCTCCAAGAGAAAGTACCGACACAGCCACACTTCCCTCGTCGCCGCGGCTGGATTCGCCTCCAAATCATGGTCAGAGCGCACCCCCGTGCACACGCTACCATGGACTAGGGATCCGTGGATCTGGCGCGCGGGCGCCAGATCCACGGATGCACCCCCGAGGCGTTTGGCCGATGCCGCCTCCTTTGGCGACGGAGCGCGCCGATTCTGTCTGCATGGCGCTGCTAATCCACGCGCCTTGGTCGGGCGGGGCTGGGACAGAGATACGTCGTTCCAGAGAGTCCCAGGAAGGTCTCAGAGCGTTCCAGGAGAAGGCCGCTGCACTCGATGCATCCTCCAGAGTCGCCAGATTTTAGAGATCCCCGACTTGTCCTGGTCCGATTTTGTCCCTGTCCTGGCTACGTCATACTTGATCCATGTTTGCGCTTCCGCAAACCTCAGGAGACTGTTCTTGTATCCCCATGGCTAAAAACGGGCGCGACCTGAGGGGGGGCAGGGCGCTGGTCGCGTCACGATCCGCGCTGGCGCCGTCTGGGGATGCCTACGAATGGCGAATTCCCACACGGCGCCGGCGAGAGTCGCGACGTGACCGGGCGTGAGGAGGAGGAGGAGGAGGAGGAGGAGGAGGAGGAGGAGGAGGAGGAGGAGGGAGGAGAAGGAGGAGGAGGAGGGAGGGAGGAGGAGGGAGGAGGGAGGAGGAGGAGGGAGGAGGGAGGGAGGAGGGAGGAGGGAGGAGGGAGGAGGAGGACGAAGACGAAGACGAGGACGAAGACGAGGACGACGAGCAAGAGGAGGAGTAGGAGGAGAAGGAGGAGGAGGAGGAGGACCAGTGTAAAACCAAGAGTCATCAACGATGTTGGAATTCACCCTTCCTCCAAGCTCCCTCTTCATAGGCCCCCACAATGGTTCATTTCCATTGAGGGAACTGTCTCGTTGGAAGACAACAGTTTGAAGATCCTGAAGCATGCCAGAACATTATTCTCGGGATTTCAACGCCACGTGTCAACCTGACTGCTGCGTCTTGACGATCCGGAATCGTGCCAGAGGGTCATTTTTGGGACTTCAACCCCGCGAATAAGCATAATTGTTGCACCCGCATAATCCTGAATCTTTCCAGCACACCATTTCTGGTACGTTGATCACCGGAATCCGTGAAGCTTTTGCAGATGTTTGAAACGAATGTGCGCGGCGCTATGGCGAGGACCACATTTTGAAAAAGAGCCGCCCTCAACCCGTGAAGCTCTTGCAAATGTTTAAAACGAATATGCGCGGCGCCACGGCGAGAGCCACATCTTGAAATGGAACCGCCCTCAACCCGTGAAACTCTTGCAAACTTTTACAACGAATGTGCGCGGCGCTAAGGCGAGACCACATCTTGAAAAGGAACCACCCTCAATCCGTGAAGTTCTTGCAAATGTTTAAAAAGAATGTGCGCGGCGCTAAGCGCTAAGGCGAGAGCCACATCTTGAAAAGGAACCGCCCTCAATCCGTGCAGCTCTTGCAACTGTTTAGAATGAATGTGCGCGGCGCCAAGGCGAGAGCAACATATTTTTGAAAAGGAACCGCCCTCAATCCGTGAAGCTCTTGCAAGTTTGTGTAAAGAATGTGCGCGGCGCTAATGCGAGAACCACATTTTGAAATGGAACCGCCCTCAATCCGTGAAGTTCTTGCAAACGTTTACAACGAATGCGCGCGGCGCTATGGCGAGAGCCAAATTCTTGGCGCTTCGCGTATCCCCACCAGCTTTATCTCGCTCTGTGCCCCAGTCGTGTCCGCCCCGCTTCCTGGATCTGTCCACGGAGCCGCCAATCAAAAAAGTATCCCCACCAGCCCATCCAGAAACGATGACCAGGTGAGTTGGTTAGTCAGGCACGCCTGGAAACACGCGGTCGCGCAGCTGTCTTGGAAGCGTCAAAACAGGGTGGGCAGCACCCTGGGCCAGGAAACAAGGATCACAAATAGTTCGGCGCAGTGAAGTTTAAGACAGAACTCAGTGCAGGACGCGCCATTTGTTCTCGTGGTAAGTGTCTCTGGCGCAGGTTGCTGTATGCACGATCCGACATCCGTGTTGTGCGCAGATTAGGGCACGAGCTTTCGCAACCGCCTTGGGAGCGTGTTGGAAGGGGCGCGGAAGCTGCACATAGACACCGCCGTGCGCACAGGCATTCTTGTTTTCAAAACTGAGGGGGCCGTACCTCGGGCCAGAAAAACAAGGATCACACATAGCTTCCCCCACTGAAGTTTGAGATGGAAATTCGTGCGAGATACGCCGTGAGGTTCCCTGTGGTAAACGTCCATCCAGAAACGATTACCAGGTGAGTTGGTCAATCAGGGACGCCTGGAAGCACGCGGTCGCACAGCTGTTTTGGAAGCGTCAAAACAGGGTGGGCCGTACCCTGGGCCAGAAAATAAGGACCTTCGCGCAGTGACGTTTAAGACAGAAATCAGTGCAAGATGCGCCATGGTGCTCCTTTCGGTAAGCCTCTCTGGCGCAGGTTCCTGTATCTACGATCCGACGCCAGCGGCGCGCAGATTAGAGTCGCATCTCGATGGACATCCTCGATCTTAACCCTTGCACTGATTTGTATCTTAAACTCGCGTGCGTTTCGAAATTGCTCAGGTGCTGGTGCTGCTGCCGGTGCTGCTGACGATGCTGTTGCTGGCGCTGCTGTTGTTGATGCTGGTGCTGATGTTGCTGTTGCTGGTGCTTGTGCTGCTGCTGGTGCTGCTGCTTGTGGTGCTCCTGCTGCTGGTGGTGCTGCTGCTGGGGCCATCTTGGGGGTAGGAGGAGAAAGAGGAGGAGGAGGAGGAGGATGAAAAAAGGAGAAGGAGGACGGGGAAGAGGAGGAAGAGCAGGAAAGCGGCACGGGGAGGATAGAGAGGAGGAGTAAGGAGGCAGGAAGGAAGGGAGGAAAGAAGGCGCGGATGTCCCACGGCGGCTTGATTGGCAACACCGGTGAGTAGGGAGAGCTCTTGTAGCGAAGGGTGTCGGGCTGTAGCTGCTGTTATCGTTGGTGTTGTCGTTGTAGTTTGTGCTTATGGTACCGCTGCTGCTGGTGTTGATGCTGGTGCTACTGATAGTGCTGCTGGTGCTGGCGATGCCTGGGACCATCTTGGGGGTAAGAGGAGGAGGAGGAAGAGGAGGAGGAGGAGGAAGAGGAGGAGGAGGAGGAGGAGGACCGACAGAAAAGGAGGAGGGGACGATGACAAGGAGGACGAGAAGTCGGGCTTAGGGGATATATTGTGGTGAGGGTTTCTTCGAAGCGTCGTAATGCCACTTTGGCGCAATCTTGGAGCCCTCTTGGGGTCCTCTTGGGGCCTTCGTGGGGCCCTCTTGGGGATCATTTGGGGAGTCTTGGAGCCCTCTTAGGGCTCTTTGGGGAGGCTTGGGAGGCCTCTTGGGGCCGTCTTGGGCCCCATGGCTAAAAAAGAGGGGGTCGTCTATTTCCCGTCGCCCCCTCGGAGGCTCACAAATGCTATCTTGGAGCCGTCTTGGGCCGTTCTTGGCCGCTCTAGGGGCCGTCTTGGGGCCCTCTTGGGGCTCTCTTGGGGCAACTTGGGGCCATGTTGAGGATGCCAAAACCCATGGAAGCGAAAAGCGAGAATGCCTGAAACATTGATTTTCCCTATGCTTTTGAAGGATTTTGGCATCTTGGAGGGTGCCGTTGAAGGCTCGAAAGGCACTTGGATCCGTCTTGGGGCAACCTTGAGGCCTCTTGGATGCGTGTACGAAGCTATCTTGAGCCATCTTGAGCTATCTTGGGCCATCTTGGAGGCCATCTTGCGCTCTCTGATGCCCTCTTGGAGCCATCGTGGGCCAAAAAGGACCCTCTAACCCCTCGGGACCGCGCCGTCCAGACCCAAGGAGGGGGGGGGAGGTATATCAGGGAGGTTGGAAACAGAAACGCTCTAGACCACCTCCGCCCAGAGGGCTGGTGGGATTTTGAAAGCCACCCGCCCTCCACACGTGAAACTGTTGCCATTTGTTAAGCTTCAGAGTCGTGAGTGGTGAGGAAGTCTCAGGTGAAACGCCCCGCCCGCCCTAAAAACTGGCCTCGGGGGTGCGACAGGGAGGACTTGTCTGTATGGAGGAGGAGGAGGAGGAGGAGGAGGAGGAGGAGGAGGAGGAGGAGGAGGAGGAGGAGGAGGAAGGGGGGGTGGGCGAGGCGGGGCCGGGAGTGGGCGTCATCGCGAAGCATGAGAAATCGGGATCCTCGAACCTGAGTAGAGGGTCGTGGAGCAGCGGCTGCGGTATTTTCCTTCATTGGAGGCCTAGAGGTCGACACCAACACCAAGATCGGCGGTGTGCCTTCACCGAGGGAAGAGTCCCTGATCTCGGTGATGGTGGTAATATTCGGGTGCTCTAAGTGGCCGAACTGCTACCACCAATACCAAAATCTAGGATCGTCTCACCCCTGTGGAGGCAACCTCCTGTGTTGGTGTTGGTGCCCTTTTCCAGGCCTCCAACTTCCCCCTCGCAGGTCGGGTTTGCACAGCCGGTGCAGCTCGCGCTCGCGGTGTTCCTGGGCCTCCTGCCAGGAGCTTTTGGGGGAGTCCTCCTCATCCTCCTCTTTTTCCTCCTCTTCCTCCTCCTCCTCCTCCTCCTCACTCACTCACTCACTCACTCACTCACTGACTCACTCACTCACTCTTTCACTCACTCACTCACTCTCGTGGCAGTAGAACGTTGACGTCCTCCTCCCCTCCTCCTCCTCCTCCTCCTCTTCTTTCCGGGAGGAAGCTGCACGAGCTTACGGTTTCACAGGCCCGCGCGGAGGTCCCAGGTCCCTGTGCGTCGGGCAGAAACTGCGACGGAAGGTTTGTTTTCGCTATTTTTGGTTTCCGGGGGCCCTTACGGGGCCCTAGGACCGTCGAAAACGAGTTACGATGAGCAGCTGGTCCCTGGGAAGGGGTCCAACCCATAGATAAATCATGGCGTCCGGGGATTTGGGCTCTTGGATCCGCACTCGAAGGATAAGACACGGCATGAACATGAAAGTTCGGAGTTCCGCAAGGATTTTTTTGATCGTCGCTGGAACCCCCCTCCCTGGCGGGCGCGGAGCGTGCCAGGGGAGGCACTGCGCACGTCTGAGAAACTAGAGTGTTCTGGAAATCTATCAATGGAGAGGAAGCATGCTGCCAAATGATTTCCAGACGTCTAGAAATTGTGTCAAACATGTCTTAAACATTACAACATGTGCACAATCACCCACCCACCCTCTCTGGCCCCCGAATATTCATCCCTGTATTTTTTAGGAGGCGCTTTGGAGGTAAAACCCTTCCTGAAGGCTTGTTTTCGGCGAGTTCCCCAGGTGGGGTGACTGGGTTTTGGTTGTGGTGTTTTTTCATTTTGGCGTCCCGGACCGCCCGCCCCCCAGAACCCACCCAAACCCCCTCTCCCCTGGGTGCGGCGGGACACCCCCCCTGCAGTGGAGTTGGTGGAGGTTTTCCGGGGGGGGGGGTCCGGGAACTGCCGCACCGGTTTCGGAGGGGAGGGAAGTCCCAGAAATATGGCAATTACGTTGCATTTTTGAATCTATGTAGATTTGTTTATGTCCCCCTGGGTCCATATGTAGATTTGTTTGTGTCCCCCTGGACCCACTCATCCTTGTTCCTCCACTGGAGGCGGGCGACCCCCTGCACACTGACACGACACGAAGATTACTCTCCTCTCTCCCCTGGTGACGTCCCCCCCTCCGCGTACGGGCTCTTTACAGGATTCTTAGGAGTTGGGTTCTCGTTTGGGTTTTTCCAACATGTTGCTCTCGCTGAAGCGATGGCCTCATTTTCGGGCTACCGCTCGTTCCGATTCGTGCTCCCGCTGCAGCGCTGGCCTCATTTCCGCGCCTCCGCTCGTTCCGAATCGTGCTCCCGTTGCAGCGGTGGCGTCATTATTTCCAGCGCCATGCCACGGCACTGTTTTCGGACCTTCCAAATCGGCCCCACAATCTGAAAAATGCACCCCGAAAAAACAATCGGAAGTGATTACGCATTCTGTGCCGATTCGTTGATTCTTGGGGTCGCAGAAGCCAGTTCCACTTTGGGGCGTCGCCACGCCATGCTGTGCCAGGATACGCGTTGATCTTCAACACCATGCTATGCCATGTAATGCTATGCTGTGCTGCGACATCCGACTGTGCGAATAGAGAGGAGATCTACGCCACGGTAAGGGATGGGAGGGAGGGTTAGGACGTCAGGTATGACGCGAGCGCACCTGGTTTGGTTCAACCCCCTCTCCCTCGGACACAGGGGTCAATTCCGGGGGTTTGGCCTAACCTTAAGTCGGGCACGTCCCTTTACAGGAGGAATATTCAAACATTGTCCAACAATAGTGTGGGAACGGTTTTTTAAATCATATGGCGCCACCGCGCCCATGTCGGCCCACCCTTCATACGGTTCGTGGGCACAAAGAGAACCCCACCGAAGGCCCCAACGGCAAGGTCGGCGTGGCGCCACCGCGCCCATGTCGGCCCACCCTTACACGTTTCGTGGCCCCACCGGCAGTTCCACCGAAGTCCCCAGCGGAAGGGTCCGCATGCGGTGCCTGCCCCCCTCCTCCATATCACCTGTTTTGCGGTACTCGCAGCTGTATATGGTTGGGTCCTCTGCAAGGAAAATTTCATGACGTCGACCCCCCACAAGTCTGGACCAGTTCCTGAACAGTTTCTTGACCATCCCGAATCCTGGTCAAAACCCGTAGGGGCTGGAAGCACCGATCGCCCCCCCGTCGTGTTTTTCATGACTCGATGGTGGTCTGTCGCAGGCGATGTCTCGCCGGCTCAACCAGTAAAACTCAAGCAGCTCAGAAACAGAGGGATCCTCGGGGACACGCCCCCAAGGGGGCTATTCGGACGCACCCTTACTGAGGAAAGGCGCCCCTCTTTTGTGTATCCCTGGGTTGGGCCCCGAATGTTTGGTCCATTCGAAAACCTTTACGAAGTCGGGGATCGGGGTCGTCACATCCCCCTGTTGGTCTGGGCCTCCAGCAGGAGCCGGGCCAGCGTGGGCCGCGGCGCAGGTTCCCCTGCTGTTCGCCGCGCTGGGCTACGCGGCGTGCAGCAGCAGGGCGCCCGTCGTCGAGCTGTTTCCCCCGCTGCTGGCGTGCTACGCCGTGGCCCTCGCGGCCTGGCTGGCCCTGGAGGACCCTCGCGGGAGCTCGATCCATACAGTGGAGGCGCGCATCAAGAAACCAAATGCTTCTCGCCAGGGTACCCTGGGTGACTTCCTGCGGCCGCTGAAGAAGCTGCTGCGTTCAGAGTGCTCTGGGTGTCTTCTCAGGTGTACCTCGCGCGCGGGTTTCCAGGGTTGGGTTTCTTGCGATGGTTTCTTGCGACCGCGCCCGCTTTTGCACCCCTGCTGTTCCCCCCCCTTCTGGGCTCCAGCGGCAGCAGGGCATGGACAACCGCCATGGCCCCCGATGCCAAGATTTTATATCCATGCCGCCGCTCTGGCCCATAGTGGGGTCGGGGCGTGTGGAGGGGCATGGATGAAATACCGAAGGGAGGGGAGGATGGAAGGAAAGGAAAACGGGAGGGAGGGAGGAAGGGAGGGATGGAAGAAGGGAGGAAGGGAGAAAGGGAGGAAGGGAAGATGGGAGGAAGGGAGGATGGGAGGAAGGGAGGACGGGAGGACGGGAGGACGGGAGGTGGATGAGGAGGGGGAACAGGGATTGTGACGAGCGCATCTGGACGGGGCCGGGTGACGCGGGCGAGCTGCGCCGCGGGAGCTATGGCCATGAGCTGGCTGGAGGGCGGAGGTGGCCAAGCAATGCTTCCGGCGGGGCAAGGGGGCATGGTTCGAGGTTCTGTCGGGGGCGGCCAAGAGGAGGGTGAGGACCAGGGGGGGGGGATATCATGGTGGAGGCCATGACATCTCCCCAGATTTCATGGCGCCTCTTCTTATTTCATTGCGTCCCTGGGCCCACCCCCCTGGGCCGCGCACATGCCGCCGGCCATGATTTGCACCCTCCCCTCGTGGACGCCCCCCTGTTGGCCGCCCCCGTTTCTGGGCTTGGGGCAGGTTTCTCGCACCCGAGACCGTCAACAAAAGAGGATCCCGGGTGGAGGGACCCCGGAAGGGGTGGGTCCGGGGACGGATTTTGACCGGGGATGCCCCTGTCCTATCGTCTTGACTGCTTTCCTCGGGGCCCTCCAGCTCAGACCGACCCATTGGCCGCTTCCAAATCGGAGGCCTATCGTTTGACACCAGCACTGGTATCGGCAGTTGCTTGTACTGAGGGAAGGCGATCCCGATCTCGGTGATTCTAGGCTTTCAAGTGGGGTCCGAGTAGATGGGGTCGGCCGATCGCGCCGCATCGCTGATTCATCGCCAATGTGGATCGATATGGAACCCGAGTTTCTCCGCGCTGGCGTCGCCGATGCTCCGCCGACGTCGCCAAAGCGTCGGTGATGCATCGCCGATGCATCGGCGATACGGCGCGATCTTCCGACCCCTCAACTCGGACCCTATCCAAGGGGCAAGGGGCCTCTATTGATGGTGGTAAGATTCGGGCTTCTCAGGCGGCCGAGAGCCCTCGTCGCTACTCGCCGCCTCGGCGGGTTTCCCTCTTCCTGGAGAGCCCTCGTCGCCACGGCTGAATTCTCCTCAGAATTCTTGTAAGAATGCAGATAGCGGTAAAAAAACAGCAACATCAACAACAACCACAGAAAGATAATGTTTTCGTTGGCGCACTCCTCCCTCGCTGCCTGGCTGGCCTTGGAGGACCCTCAGACATGGAAAAGATGCCCATCGGTCGTTGAATATTTGTATTTTTGATTCCCCATATTCCAATTGCATTTGGGGCGTTATCTTTCCTCAAGGATCGAGCGGTTCGCTCCGTTGGACTTCAGTCGTTTTCGCCTGCTGCAGATTTTCTCGCCTCGGGATGGTTTCCAGCAGCCCTGCCTTTTCGAGAGCGTTCCAGGACTGGAGTCCGAAGTTATGGGTCCGAAAGCCAGACCGCGCCTGGATTAGACTGACGAGGCGGAAGCAAGGGTGTTCCGCATCCCCTCTCATTGAAGAAGTACAGCGACGGGGGGCTTTCGACAATTTTTGGGCTTCTGGGGGCCCTCGCCGGGCCCTGGGGCCGTTAAATAACAATTCGGGCAGAAAGTCCGCTCCTGGGGAAGGGGTCCAGATCTCTGGAGGTCCACGTCGTGAAAAAGTCACGGGGAGTTCTGGGCTCACTGCGTCGGATGTCCTCGATTCGGTTGGTTCGGCCGCGTCGCAGTCGGTCGCGCTCGGTCGGTTCGGTTCGGTCGGCTGCCGTGTCGTTGCTGCGTTGCTTCAGCCACGCGCAGAGGGGGGTGGGGGGGGGAGGGCTTCTTAGAAGCACCCCTGCTTCAGGCGCGGGCCTTATCTGTAGATGTCAGGCCGGCGCCTTCTAAGAAGCAGCCTCCTTCTAAGAAGCCCTCCCCCCTCCCTCCACCCCCTTGTGCGCGCCGCCAATTGCTGCGGACGTCTGGGCTGCTAGTGGTCTGTTGGTTTCGGTCGGTCTTGGTTTCGCTGTCGGTGCGGTCGGTCTTCGGTTGGCCTGTCGCCGTGGACGGCCTTGCCCGCCGGCCTGCCCGAAAGGGGTCCCCAGCTAGCTGGTGGGATCCCGAGGGAGATTCGCTATCGTTTAACCGATCCCCATCCCCATCCCCATCCCCATCCAGACCCCCACCATCTCATCCCCCAATTGGCGATATACCATTTGAAATCTGACGAAAACTGCCCATATCCCCATCTAGGGGGGTAAACCGGCCAGTGGGGTCCAGGCCAAGCCCGTGGGGATAGGGATCGGTGAAGCGATGCTCAGAGATGTCCAGATCTCCAGCACCGTTTCTTGAAAGACTGGGCGCTTTGTCTCGATCTCGGCCTCCAGAGCCCGTTTTCGGGGGCCATCATACATGGATCTGGGGCGAAACAGTTGCCCCAGGGAAAGGGTTGGGACCTGTGGCGCCTCGCATTTGAAAAGTCAGATCGTCGGGTTATAAGAACGCGCTGCCGTTGTTGGTAGTTGGTCCGATGCGAACTTTAACTACGAGATGCTGGCTAACATGAACTCCCTAGGCTTTTTCTGGTCAACGCAAGAATCTGGAGGTTGTGTCTCGGGCCACGAAGTGTCGACGTGTCTGGAAATGTCTAGCAAGCTTGAATATTCTGGAGGACGTGGACAGATGGTTCAAGAGTGATGATGCGTGTACAGTGCGCGCAACGTCTGGTTGGGCATGTACTAGCTTAGTTCCTTCCATACGCGTTCCGCAGTGTCAGAGGCGTTGTGTTTTCTTCTCCGAAGGGGATTCCTGAGGAAGGAAAGCTCTTTCAAACTACCGTCGGCCGTGCTTTTGCTGCTGCCATCGACCTTCAGATACGGATGTGGGAGTGGATGGGGGAGGTGCCCGAGGCTGCGGTCGCTGATGTGTCGAATGCTGTAACGTCTGTTGCGCGAATGACTTGCCCGTATTTTGGTTGGACGTTCTTGTGAGTGTTCGCTAGAGGGGTTAACACGTCTGTTCGCTGCCATTCCCAATTCCATGGTCGTCTCTTTGGTTGCTGCTCCGATACTATGTTCCTGATCTCTCCGACCTCGATGATCTTGCCCATGACTCAAGCTGTGCTCGGTTTTTTAAGATTCGTGAGCACTGGTTTGGAGAACTGATGCCTTCCTTCTCTGAGTCCCCTCCCTGACTTTTTCCATAGCTCCCGACCGTTGAGAGGCCTCGCGCGGTGCTGCTCAGTACTGCTGCCCGATTGGACGCATTGTTGCTTGCTCACAATTGTCGCCGCCACGCGATGCTTGCTCAGCAGATGCATGCCCGAAAATGTGCCGCAATTCGCCGTCGCAGGTCTATTGCCGAGGCGTGGAGGATCGAGGGATGGGTGCGGCTTTTGTGTGAAGCTCCGAACGGCTGACATTCTGTGTGTTCGAGGTGCCCTGCTTTGAATGGGGTCTGGGGCATGGAGTGCTCGGATTTCGTTGGCCTGTGCGGCTGAGAACTGCTACGGGGTGAACCCAGACCGCCTTCTGAAACAAACCTAACGAGCCAGCGAGAACTGGGGAAACAAAACGTCTGATCGTCGGGTGCCTGGGGAAAAAGGGCTGTCGGAGCACACCCGAAGCTTGCCTGGGTCGTCAACCATGCGTGGCACGTCGGACAGCGCAGTCAGGCTGTAGAGGAAGATGCCTTGACCACGGTCTGGACGATGAAACTGCGTGAATCGGAATATTTCAAAGGTCCGTTTTTCCCCCCTTTCTCTCGGAGGTCCGCGTGGACTTCCGAAAGTTCATTCCCCGATCAGCGATTGCACCTAGGGTTTCTTGATTCGGTTCGGTTCCTCAAGGAAAGTGGTCGGGTGTGCTGGATTGTCGGCTTGTGCCCAGTTGGTTGGCGCCCGCGGGCGCCTCGTGTTGGGTGGGTGTGCCGAGGTTTCGCCTGGTGCCCGACCACGGGCGCCCCGTGCGTTGGGCGGGCGTGCGGAGCTTTCGCCAGGTGCCCGCTCGTGGGCGTCTCGAGGGCGCCTCGTGCGGTAGGTGGATGTGCCGATGTTTCGCCCGGTGCCCGCCCGTGGGCGGTCGCGGGTCTCGTCGCTGCGTGTGTGTGTGTGTGTGTGTGCGTGTGTGTGTGTGTGTGTGCGTGCGTGCGTGTTTGTGTGTGTGTGTGTGTGTGTGTGTGTGTGTGTGTGTGTGTGCGTGCGTGTGCGTGCGCGCGTGTGTGCGTGTGTGCGTGTGCGCGTGTGCGCGTGTGTGCGTGTGTGCGCGTGTGTGCGTGTGCGTCTGTGTGCGTGTGTGCGTGTGTGCGTGTGTGCGTGTGTGCGTTTGTGTGCGCGCGTTTGCCAAAGTTTCGCTTGTTGCCCGCCCGTGGCCGAGCGCGGGCGCTCAGTGGGCGCCTCGTGCTCTGGGCAGCCGCGCAGGCTGCACCACATAATCTGTTTTTTTGTCCACACTGCTTGCACCGCAAAGCTTGCACCGCGCAGTTTGCCTCACACGGGCTGCGCCGCACATGATGCGCCGCACACCCTGCGCCGCATAGCATACACCACGTATTTTGCGCCGCATATCTTACGCGAAATAGCTTGCACCTGGTAGCTCTCACCTCATAGCTTGCACCGCATGGCTTGCACCACGCTGCTTGCACCGCACAGTTTACACCAGCTTGCACACCTAGCCGACACATACATCGCGCAACAACTCTCCATGCTGGCGAACATGTTTGGATGTAGTGTCCTTGTCCCATAGGGCTCGAAGGGTCGCGCCGCATCGCCGAGGCATTGGTGATCCTGCAAGATGTGAACAAAAAACGATGTTTCCACGCAGATGGCGGCGATGCATCGCTGATGCCTCGCCTATTACGACGCACACAGCAACTCGGCGCGAACCTCCGACCCCATTTGTTCGGACCTCGTTCGGAACAGACCTCGGCCCCTCTATCCACGATGTCTATTCTCAGCTATCGAACGTCGACCCTGGACCCATCGATCTCGATCGTCGACCCTGGAGCCTCGTCCCCCGCTCCTCGACCTCGATCGCCGGCCCTCGACCATCCCGACGGGCCGCCCGCAGCGGCCGCCCGAAGGACGATGGGGTCGCCCAGCTCCCCCCGAAGCTCATGCCGCTGCAGTTCTTGAGCTCGACGCCCCCGGAAGGCGCGAGCCTGGCTGCGGCCAGCTTCGCGTGCTGCGCCGTGTGCTTGGCCCTGACGCCCACGCTGAGGTCCGGCAGCGAGCGAGGGGGGGAAGCGAGAAGGACAAGGCCTGCTCAGGAGGTTCGGAAGCTTCCCGACTTGCCGAGAAGCTTTCTAAGCCTTCCCCCCCCCCCCCCCGCTTGCCGCCGAAAGGTCCATCACGCGCGGCTCGGGGGCGAGCGCGGTCTTGTACTTGTGGGTGTGGTGCGTGGTCGGGGGCGCGGCGGTCGACTGGATGTCCTCTCTGCCAAAAGTCGTGGGGGGCCAGGCGATCGGGGCGACCGAAACGGGCATCTACAGTCGGACCGAAAAGTAGTGAAGTGAAAATAGTCTCTGGACGATCTCTTGGGCTATTTATAACCACTTTGGGGTGTTTTGTTACAACTATTTTTCATGGTTCGTCCAAAATCCGCCTCTAGGAGGACATGCCCGACCTGAATATACGATCGACGTCTGTTCGGGGAGGGTGCCTTCGTGCTCTTCGTGTTTGTTGGATGCTCTTGTGCATCCTGGGGTGCATCCTGGGGAGGGTACCCTTGGATGTTCTGTTTGTTTTGGCCAGCGGAGGCTATCATATTCTTGGGGGATGTTCCATTGGCCTAGGTCCGAGTGCACGTACGGAAAGAAGGGTGACGAAGAGACCGACGGCAGTTCCTGCCCACTCTGAACAGGAGCCGCTGTCGGTTCCGCCGCGGACGCTGTCCGTTTGAGGCAGAAGGTCGCCTCGCGGTTTTAGGCAACCTGTGCTCCTGGGCATCGCACCCATCTCTCCCGCACCCATTTCGGCCTTGCCGAGGCGATGCTGTCGCTGCCGGTGCGGCTGCAGATCCCGGCGTTCGCTTGCGGCATTCGGGGGTAACGTTCGGGGGGGATAGGCTCGGGGGATGTGTCGACCCCAAACGCGCATTCGTCGCCGATGGGGGCCCGACAGAGAGGGCATTCTTAGCCTTCTGGGAAGGCCCACCCCCTTCTGCCTTATCAGCCCCCCTGGACCCGCCGCCGGACGACGAGAGGAGGTGAGGTGGGCCCGTCTAAGGATTCTCAGCACGCGGTCCCCGGAAGTCCTGACCCTTTCCCCAGGGCCCGCTTCTCATCGCGGGGCCCTGCGAGGGCCCCCCAGAGGCCGAAAAGGGCCCCCCCTCCCCTCCCCCCGCCGCCGCGAGTTTTGTTTGACCACGCGACCGCGTCTGGAGGCGCATCGCTCCCCCATCGCGGGCGGCTCTCCGGCGGTCCTGGGGCCCTGCGCGGGCCTCGCCCCCCGCAGGCACGATGGCCGCCTACTGGCGCAGGCCCTCGCGGCTGGAGCAGGCCTGCGGCCTCGCGGCGGCGCTGTGCCTCGCCGCCCTGCCGCTGGCGCTGCCGCTGCCCGCGGAGGTGCTGCAGAGCATGTACCACGGCTCGGCGCTGCCCCTGCAGGAGCCCCTCTTCAGTATCGTTTGACCGAGCCTCACCGTCTCACCACCTCAGTTGAGGGAGCAGCCTGCATCCCCATCCAGGGGCGCAAATCGGCCAGTGGGCCCAGCTGACGCTGGCGGGGATGGGGATCGGTGAAACGATGCTCAACTCCGATCCGATCGAGGCTCGAGGCCTGCGAGGTTTCGAGGTGCAGTGGGGGCCCAGGCCAAGGAACACCCTGCTTGCCTCCAGGGTGCACTGGGTTTCTTGGGTTTCGATGGTTTTGCGATGGAGAGCGCGACGTTCCCACACCACAAATCCATGGACGTCCTGGGGTCGCAGGGTTGGGTTTCATGTGGAAGGTTTCTTCTGGTCGGACCTGCAATGTACGACACCCCTGATTCGAGGCTCCAGGTTTTCGGGCGTTTTCGTGGATCCCCGGCGGCTTCCCAGCCCCAGGATGCTTTCCAGCAGTTGCGCCTCGCCGAGAGCGTTGCTCCGGTGCCCAGATTGTTTCGGACGGCCGCTGGAGAGCCGAGCTATGACCCGAAAGCCAGAGCGCAACGATAGGGCGGCGAGTCGAGACGATGGCAATTGGCCTTCGGGTGGCCCCCTTGCCGCCACGACTGGACGCAGCTCGGTTTTTTTTGCGTTGGGACCCTGGGAATGGGTGCCGTGGTCGTCATTCGCCCTGCTCCGAATATCGCTTCCAGCCGGCCCGATCCGATTCGGTTCCGATATTTACAGCGATCCGATGCGGCACGGTGCCTGCGTTGCGCCGTTGGGCATCTTGGCGCAACTGGTTCGTTTCGGTTTCGGCTTCGTGCCAATGCATCCCGATCCGACGCGCATTTCGATTCGACCCAGTTTTACGCTTCGATGCTGACTGATCCTGCCCTGCAGCTCGCCATCGTCTGGGCGGTGGTGCCGCTGCTGAGCTTTGGCGGGGAAGAGGCTCCGGAAGGAGGGTCGAAGATCGGGGGCAACGTTAGGGGGGGGAGGGTCAGGGGAGGGATGCACGACTCCCAATGGCCCATCCGGCGCCGACAGGGGCCCGATTGCCACATCCCGCCCAGGAACGTGAGGATTCGCCATCGGGGGCCTATCGCCGACCTGTCCGCCATGTATCGCCGATACCAGGTCGGCGTTCCCCCTCTGAGCTGCTTGCCAACGGAGGTTCCCCCTCATGAACAAGAACAAGTTGCACCGAAACAGACTTAAGTCGGGCGTGTCCCTTTACAGGAGGAATATTCAAACATAGTAAAAATTAGTCTGGGGACGATTTGTGTGTATTATGTTTGTTGATATGTTGGGTCCATTTTTTATGTTAATTTTATGTTTCGTCCAACATCCGCCTGTAGGGGGACATGCCCGACCCACAAATATACTTGAGGAGGTCTCAGAAGAGGAATCTGCCCATGCCGCTACCCTTCCGTCGTCACCACGGCCTGCTTCGCCTCGCAACTCTGGCCTGAACGTGCCCCAGGAGAGGCCCGTGCTGTTTTCTTCGATCGGCAATGGCCCTCCCCTCCCTGGCGCGCGGAGCGCGCCTCTGGCTACTCCTCCGGTGCCGCCCCCTGGTGCGCTCCGCAAGGGCCGATGCTTTGTGCAGTGTAGGTCTGCGCAGTGTTTGTGCCGCGCGTGCCTCTGAAAGTTTCTGTCTGCGCAGTGCTCCCTTCCCCAGGGACTTGGACTGCAAGCGTAATGATCCAAGGCGGTTTCCCCAGGGAGGGAGGGAGGGGCGGTCGAGACAGCGGCGGCCTCTCCCTGGCGCTGCTTCGTCCTCTCTGGGCCTCCCAGATGTTTCTCGTCACCACGGCCAGATCCGCCCCCTGCGCCGTGATGTTTTCAATGCGAGGCGCCATGGGGCCATGTTTCGCCCCGGATTCATTGCCGTTGGTCCCTGGGCCCGACAACGGGGACAACGGGCCCCAGAGGCCGGTCACCGAGAGTCCTTCCTCGAGTCCTGGGAAGGGCTTTTGGGGGCCGGGCGGGGGGGCCTCCTGGGACGTGTAGGGGGGCCTCGCGGGGCGTGCTGGACCCACCTGGGGTCCATCTTGAGAAGCATAGCGAGCGCGTGTCGAGCATTCAGTCGGACCGGGGTATAAGATCGAGGTCGGTTCGCGGAGGGTAATTACCCTAGGCCCTCTCTCAAGCGGGCTTTCGGCGGGCCTTCTCTCGAGCGGGGAATTTTTGGGGGCCCTCTCTCCAGCGGGGGTCCTCTCTCAAGCGGGCTTTCGGGGGGCCCTCTCTCGAGCGGGGCTTTCGGGGGGCCCTCTCTCGAGCGGGCTTTCGGGGGGCCCTCTCTCGAGCGGGGGCTTCTTGGGGGCCGGGCGGGGGGGCCGGGCGGGGGGGCCGCCCGCTGTCTCTCGACCCGGCCCTCCTCCCGCCTCAGGTGCTCCGCGCTGGCGATCGCGAGGGGCCCGGGTGCGGCAGGCGCCGGGAGGCATGAAGAGCATCAGTGCTGGGCTCCTTCTGATTATTTGTAAGTTGGGCCTGTCCCTCGACAGGAGGAATGTTCAAATAATATTCCAAACTTGTTAAACAATGGGAGCGATTTTTCTTTTATGTTTTGACTATTTTTGAGTGTGTTTTTAATCCTGTTCTTGTTCTTCGCCCAATATCCGCCTGCAGGAGGACATGCCCGACCAAATATCATTCTAAAGACGCCACCGCTCTAAACAAGTTCAGAGTGTGCTTTTTCCCCGAGCCATCCTGTAGTGTGGGGTCCTTGTTTCGGAGAGACCGCGCCCCGCGTCTCCTTCCTCCTTTTCTCTTTCCTCCTCCCCCTCCATGCCTCAGCCGCCCGTATCCCATGTCGGCACAACCCTCACACGTTCTGTGGCCCCACAGGGAGCTCCGCCGAAAGCTTCAGTGGCGGTGTCCGCATGCGGTCCCCCCACCCCAGTGCAGCCGTTTCGTGGCCCCACAGGGAGCTCCACCGAAGGCCTCAGTGCCGGAGTCCACATGTGTCCCCATAGGGAGCTCCACTGAAGGCTTCAGTGGGTGGGAAGAAAACCAGACTGCCACTAAGCATGTGGGGAACGAAGCATGTGGGTCTCATGTAATTCGGGGGCCGTATAGGTGTTGCAGGCACCTGGGTGCGTGTGTGCGTGTGCCTGGCGCGAGGGGGAAATGTATGTGTGCGCTGCATGTAGACGCGTATGTGTTGCGCGCCGGTGAGAGGAGAAGGAAGAGGAGGAGGAGGAGGAGGAGGAGGAGGAGGAGGAGGAGGAGGAGGAGGAGGAGGAGGAGAGGAGGGGGAGGGGGAGGGGGAGGTGTAGGTGTGAGACGCGGGTGGGACGCGGGTGGGGTGAAAGCCATAGCCCCACGAAGCATGTGGGGAACATATGCAAAGCTGGTATCTCATGGCCGCCTCGCCCCCCGCGGAGACTGCAGCTCTCCGTCTCGTGCCTCCCCTTCCTCCTTCTCCTCCCCCTCCTCCTCCTCTTCCTCCTCCTCCTCCTACTCCTCCTCCTCCTCCTCCTCCTCCTCCTCCAGCCTGCACCTCCTTTGGCCTCCAGCCTCATCCTTGGGCCTGCTCCTTCTCCGTCCTCCTGCCCCGCCACAGATACTGTACACAGACACCCTCTACCGGATTGTTCCTGGGCTTCAGGGGAGGGCGGCGGTGTATGAGTTACCATTGAGAGCCAGCGACTTCATACACCGCCACCCTCGGAGGGTGTCTGCGTATGTGTGTTCGTCGCGTGCCTACTGCCTCCTCCACGCCTCGCCCTCCGCAGAGGCTGCAGCTCTCCTTCTCGGGCCTCCTGGTGGCCCCCCTGGCCGCATGCGCCCCGCCTGGCCTCGCGGGCTCCGCCGCCTGCCTGGGGGCCTGCGCCGTGGCCCACGCCGCGGAGCTCGCGGCGCGCCTGGGGGCGGAGAGGCCCTCGGAAAGGGGGAGAAAACTACGTCGGAGCTCTGGCTCCCCCCTCTTCCTCCTCCTCCCCATCCTCCCCCTCCCTCCTCCTCCATCCGTCTCCTCCTCCTCCCTCCTCCTCCTCCTCCTCCTCCTCCTCCTCCTCCTCCTCCAGTAAATGTGCTCCTCTCCGCACCACCATCCTGTTGCCCTTGCCACTGTTACTGTTGTACTGACTGGTTATCTGCAGCCCCCCCAGACTCGAGAGGTATAGGACATAGGAGCGTGCTGGCTTGCGCGCGCGCCGAGGGGTCGTCCCCTCATCGTCGTCGTGTCATCGGCTGGCTGGCTCTGATCCGCTTAACGGAACATTCCTTCCAAGCCATGGCCCTGTCGGAGCCCCCTGAACTTCCCTCACGAAACCTACCTTCGAGGGAAAGGGAGGCTACATCGGAACATATTGCAGGGATAGTCAATATCCAGGCAAAAAGCTGGCTACCAGCCGAAGCGACGGCTCAGCCGTTGGCCTCGCTGGACCTAGGACCAGAGGAAGGGTCGCTCGGAGGAAGGGAACAACAACATTGTCCCGAGCGTATTACTATGGACGGCGCCCCAGGGGGGCGGGCTCCCCCTTTCAATCTTCCCAGAAGGCAAGCATCTGAGTCGGTGTTCGATTTCACCGAGGGGGATTCCCCTGTATATCATCAGCTAGAAGAAAAAAGTCATAGGCAAGGTGCATGGCTCAGCCAGTGCTACCTACAGAAGGCCATCAGAGTATCAGCGCGCTCAAGCCCGATAGTATCAGCCCGTGCAAGCTACGGGGAAGTGAGCCTGCCGAGAAATGCTCCCGCCGGCCCAGCAGGTGGATACCATTTCCTCAACGGGCAAAAAACACGGTTCGTAATGAACGGGCAGGATGACGAAGAGAGCGACGGAGGGTCGGGGAAGAGAGTCTGCATTCAATGGAAAAGAATTAGGAATATGCTCGCTTTCACATGTCTCCTGGACCATCATATCTCCCGAATCCTCTTCAGAACTCGCCTGGTGGCCACGTCTCAGGAGGAGGCAAATCGGAAACCGAAACGATTGATTACGAACCGACAGGAGCCCACCGAAGGGCTGCCCTTGATTCCGATGAAGATTTTGATGACGAAAGGACCTTCGAAGACGGGGCGCTGAGCCGTGGAAAAGGGAGCTCCTTGGCTCAGCCAACGGAGCATTCTCCCGACGCCACGCGTCCAGCTCGGCACGCAAGGGAACCTACTGGTGTGACCCCACTGCCAAAGACAAAGAAAACCAAGAGCGAAACCGATGATCTCAATCCTCCGCCGTTGTCAGAAGGGTTCGATCGACAAAACCTCGGCGCGGCAGTGTGGCAACCAGTTGAAAGCCTCGTGCCACCGAGAATGGGCCATGACAGTGTACCAGAGCTTACTCATCATGCAATATGAAAAGGCAGAACAAAATGGGGAGCTACAAGGCGCGCGGCGGAACGGGGGGTCGAGAATGAGGGGGCAGAACGCGCCGACATCGAGCAGGGGTCGTGGAAAGGCCCCGAGAGCGGGGCGTTTTAGCTCCAGAAGATTCGACGCCCTTGCGCCCCCCCGCCCGTCGTCGAATCGGACTGAGAGCAGCTTCTCGAGCCAGGGAACTCGCTGGAACGCGGGCCCGGGGCGCCCGCCCCAGGCAGAGGATCGTTGCCCGGGAAATGTATGCAAACAGAGGGGGCCTTGTGGCCGTTGCGTTGGAAGAGCACAACCGTCGGTATATGCCATCAGAGTGGGAAGAATCACATAGACAATATAGAGGGCAGTTGAGGGTAGCAAGTGCACGCGTGCAGAAGATTCTCCTTCAGGTGCAAGGGGGTGAAACGGCCATCGAAGAAGCCGACCGCCGGCCCGCTGAATCCGAAGCAGAGGAGGGCGATGGCACGCCAAGTCGAGGAAGAGAAGGCCGCCATTGCAGAAGATGCCCAGAGACTTATACTCCATGCGGAGGCAGAAATGGCTTGGCTTGCGAGCATGGCCCAGCGGCGCCTCGCGCAAGAGGAGGCAGAACAGCGAAGGATTCAGGGGGGCTGCAGAGCAAATCATCTCATCGCCGCAACTCCAGGCCGGGAAAGAGCGCGTTGAATCTCAAATTGCTGCAGGCGCTGCAAGACGGGAAGGAGAATGGCCCGAGAACAGGCAGCACAAGCAAACAAGGAGCTCCGTGACCGACGCGACGCTGCCGGGCTCGAGGCTGAAAAGAAAAGGCTAGAAGCGGCGCGTGCACCCCGCGAGCAGGATCAGAAGGCCCAGTCCGCAAGGCAGGATGATCAAAGGCGAATGGCAGAGGCTTGGGATCACGCAGAAGGGTGCGCAGATGAGCAGATCGCGAAAGGCGCACTCCGCATCCGTGCCGTAAGTGAAGAAAACAGGGGGCTTACATCTGATTTAGAACAGCATATGAGGGCGAGAGAGTCATTAGAGAAGCTTAAGATGACGAGGCAGCCCAGCGCGGCTGCTACGGGGGCTCGACGGACAGCTCTGGCTCAGCCGGAAGGTGTTGGATAGCAGGAAAGGGCAAACCAACGCTGGCTCAGCCGAAATACGTTGAGCTTCCCCGTAGCCCGATAGTTACTCGTCCTGCCCGAGCGAGAGGGGCTCGGCCGTCTCGACCTCGGGTGGGTACGCTAGATGAGTCTTGTCATGCATGCTTAAACCTTGTACTTGGGATGCGCGTGGGACGCGGAAAACCACTCGTGCGGAACACCTTGGCGAAGGGGCCAAGAGATGCTCTGCGCGTGCCAGAAGCAGGGGCCCCAGGGAGCAAGATGAGCCCATCTTACAAGCATAGCAATGAAGCATCTTTGACATCAGCCACCGAAACAAGACCGAAGCAGTGAACATGGCGGAACAGGCAGATGAGCTGGCGCGGAAAATTCTAACGATCGGAAGAGTTTCGTCGACGACGCCAGCTACAGATGCAAGAGCTGGACGATCGCAAGGCAGAGTTGGCCGCCATCAAGCAGGAACTAGCTGCGGTTAAAACAGATCAAGACTTGTTGCAACAGTCAAACGAGCGCTCGTGACAGAAGGAGGCCGGGCTGTACAAGCAGGTCGGCAGCATGACAACGGTCATGGGTGGACCATCTTTTTCAGACCAGAGTCGGACCTTGATCGAATGCCTGCACGCACTAAGGATTCCTCTTTCGAGCTCGCGATTTATTCCAGGGACAGCAATAGAGAAATCGCTCGACCCTAATGAAGGCTCGCTCGCGGCGAACGTCTCAGGATCGAACCCTGGCAATGTCCCGTGTAACACCAAGCTCTCAGGGCCGCCTGCTTACTGCGACCTGCCCGGCCATCTCCCCTTTCGCCAGCGGCTCGGCCGCGTCTGGCGGGGGCGGCGGCGGGCGAGGTGGCAGCGACGGTGACCAAAGGGATGGCCAGAGCACTGCGCCCAGCGCCGGGATGCTCGTGGCAGTGCAAGTCGATGAGACGGGCAAGCCCAAGCCTCCGGGCGCCCCCCCAGGGGGGCTCGGCGATGGCAGAAACCCGGGCGGAGGCGGCGGTGGCGGACCCAATGGTCCTAACGCTCCCATGCTGCAACCATGCAGTGCCAATCGCATGGGTCCCAACTGGGGAACTTTCGGAAGCAGCAATGAGCTTAACCTCGTGGACATTCCTAGCGTCCAGACCTTACAAGAATGGAAACAACACTGCGTGAGGGTGGTTGCTGGGGCTTGGCACGACGTCAAGGCGGCGCAATAGTGGATCAGGGAAGCCATGGAACCGCGAGTCCAACGCGATACTCTCCAGACAGCCGGGGTCTCCATGCGCCTCGGTATCGTGATAGCTATGCGTGTTCTTGAGAAATTTGCCAAAATGAAGCGTTGTCGCAATCTCTTCAGCTCAACATGCTCATTTTTTGCGCAGATCAACCGCATGGAGTACTCGCGTCAGACTGAGCAACGCTTTCTGACGGGCCCAGTCAGATCGGAAAACGGTCAGCACTGGATATGCCGCGATCTCTTCAATTTATAAACCCAATCAGGACCTGCATTACTTCTACACGAATGGATGGAGCGTTGCCAAGAGCCGTGCTGCGCAAGAGAACCTTCGGACGAGATGAAGGCTTCGATTCGTGCACATTACTGCGAACAGGTCCAGCAAGTCCCGATTTAGAAGGAGTCATGCAGTGATTTGAAATATCGGCTGACCCTCATGGGACGGGGATGCGTTCTTACCAATGGCTTGCGTGGCAGGTTGAGTTGCTCATGATGCGGGATCGCGAGAAGTGGGCCATCTTCGAACGCGAGGCTCAGTCGGCGGCAGGCGGACGCGACAAGCCAGCCGACGCCAGGGGCGATCGGAGAGGCAGAAGCGCGAAGCCGGGAGCCAGAGGTGCACATGGAAAAGATCGTCCTCGCTTTACGACTCCGCCGAACAAGTTTGGCAACTCCAATGGAAGACAGCAGCGGACGAGAAGCCAATCCGAGATGTCGCGTGAACACTAAAGCAAGCCTGTGTGTTATGCCTACTCACGAGATCCTCGCAACTGCAAGGGCCCGAAGGGTGGGCGCCACAGAAGACGTAGGGGGCTGACGGATGCCGAGAAACTGAAGCGAGACAAGTGCGAAGAGGCTCAGCTCAGGGCAGGGAAGTCTCTCGGGCATCAACGCACCACCAAACAAGCCGACTCCGCTGCTGCCAATGTCAACGACATCGCTGCGCCTGGAAACACCCCGCAGTCGAGAGGCGAGCAAGGGCCGTGACAAGAACAAAGCACAGAGCAAAGGAAAAAACATAAACAAGCCGTGCAAGGCGTTCGCGGAGACAGGGGCCTGTCTCGTGGTAAGGATTGCCGGCGTGCAAAGAGCGCGCCTGGCCATCCGCGACGATGGCTGAGCGCTGGCGGCCTGCGCGCCAGTGCCGAAATGCTGACTGGGCAGGTCCTACTCTTTATGCTGTTGCTCGTTCACCTCGCGAAGAGAGTGTCACGGCGCCCGCGTCGGCTGATCCGGCTACGGGCGAAGGAGCCTC